TGGCATTCCCACCAACAGTGTAGAAGAGGGTTCCCTTTTCTACCCATCCTCGTCGACACTTGTTACTGTCTTTTGAATAGTGGTCATTCTGAGTGGTGTGAATTGATACCTCATTGTGGTTTTGATTTATATTTCCCCAATGATTAACAATGTGGAACATCTTTTCACATTCCTATTGGCCATCTATATTTCTTCTTTGAAAAAATGTCTGTTAGGTCCTCCTCCCATTTTTTAATTGGGTTATTTAGGCATTTTTTTGGTGTTGATTTGTATGAGTTCTTTATGTATTTTGGATGTTAACCCCTTATCGGGTAAATCATTTATGAATATGTTCTCCCATACTGTAGGTTGCCTTTTTGTTCTGTTGATGGTGTCCTTTGCTGTACAAATGCTTTTTAGTTTGGTGGTTTTTATTTTTAAGTAAACAATTAATAAATGAATTTTTCTTAGAGCATTCCTTGACTTACAGCCTAATATTTTCCTGCACCTGCTAACACTTGAGATTTTGGGTAAGACACTTAACACAGCAGGCACATGAGAGTCTGCAGCATTGGAATCACTTCATATTCACATTTAATTTACTCAAATTTAACTAGAAATGTTATTTTCCATACCCACCTACTCCCCCCACCCCACCCCCAACTTCACTCCCTAAAAGAGAGTAGGAGCAAGAACAATTTTCAGTGTAAGCCACTCTCTCAAGAAGTATGTGCTCTGTGGCGAGAGATTCAGATGGGAGAATAGCAAGCTGCATTTCTCTCCTGCCTTTTATGTGTAAGCATCTCATCACCACATGTGATTCTGGTGTTGAAAAATAAGTATTGTTTCAAAGTGAGTGGCTTCTAACCCAGGTCAGCTATTTTGTTCTTAACTGAAAAATATGTTCCAATCCTTTAGGAAAAATTAGCTGCATTGCACTTACAGCTAGTATGTTGATATATGCCATAACATGGCAATCCAAGTTTCAAGCTAACTTTAAACACTCAAGTCCTAGAAGAGAAGTCAAAATTAGTATGAGTCTGATCAAAATACCAACAGCATTCTTCAACAAACTAGAGCAGATAGTTCTAAAATTCATATGGAACCACAAAAGACCCCGAATAGCCAAAGCAGTCCTGGGAAGGAAGTATAAAGCTGGGGGAATTATGCTCCCCAACCGCAAAGTCTACTACAAAACCACAGTAATCAAGACAATTTGGTACTGGCACAAGAACAGACCCATAGACCAATGAAACAGCCTAGAGAATCCAGATATAAACCCAACCATATATGGTCAATTAATATACGATAAAGGAGCCATGGACATTCAATGGGGAAATGACAGCCTCTTCAACAACTGGTGTTGGCAAAACTGAACAGCTACATGCAAGAGAATGAAACTGGATTATTGTCTAACCCCATACACAAAAGTAAACTCAAAATGGATCAAAGACCTGAATGTAAGTCATGAAACCATAAAACTCTTAGAAGACAACATAGGCAAAAATCTCTTGAATATAAACATGAGTGACTTTTTCCTGATCGCATCTCCTTGGGCAAGGGAAACAAAAGCAAAAATGAACAAATGGGACTACATCAAACTGAAAAGCTTCTATACAGCAAAGGACACTATCAGCAGAACAAAAAGGTATCCTACAGTATGGGAGAAAATATTATAAAATGACATATCTGACAAGGGGTTACCAAAATATATAAAGAACTCACATGCCTCAACAACCAAAAAGCAAATAATCTGATTAAAGAATGGGCGGAGGATATGAACAGACAATTCTCCAAAGAAGAAATTCAGATGGCCAACAGGCACATGAAAAGATGCTCCACATCACTAATTATCAGGGAAATGCAATTTAAAACCACAATGAGATATCACCTCACCAGTGAGGATGGCCAGCATTGAAAAGACTAAGAATAACAAATGCTGGCAAGGATGCAGAGAAAGGGGAACCCTCCTACACTGTTGGTGGAAATCCATCAGTAGATGAATGGATAAAGAAAAGGTGGTACACAATGGAATACTATTCAGCCATAAGAAAGAAACAAATCCTACCACTTGCAATAACATGGATGGAGCTAGAGGGTATTATGCTCAATGAAATAAGCCAGGTGGAGAAAGACAAGTACCAATGATTTCTCTCATTTGTGGAGTATAACAACAAAGCAAATCTGAAGGAACAAAACAGCAGCAGACTCACAAACTCCAAGAAGGGACTAGCGGTTACCAAAGGGGAGAGATGGGGAGGGCAGGTGGGGAGGGAGGGAAAAGGGAATCGAGAGGTATTATGATTAGTACACATGGTGTTGGGGAGATCATGAGGAGGACAGTGTAGCACAGAGAAGATAAGTAGTGACTCTGTGGCATCTTACTACACTGATGAGCAGTGACTGCAATGGGGTATGAGGGGGGACTCGATAATATGGGTGAATGTAGTAACCACAATGGTTTTCATGTGAAACCTCCCTAAGAGGTATATCAATAATACCTTAATTTAAAAAATTATAATAAAAAAACTTGTAGGAGTCTGAGTTGCTGCCTTCAAGAAGCTTAAAATCTAATTGAAGAGAGTATCTGAACTGGGAAGATCATCTGTAAAGCAATTTACAGCAAAGGAGTAAGGAATCATGAGGATAAACAGCAGTTGCATGTTAGAATGGCCCCAGTTTCAAGTGGTCATTGTCCCCATGAACACACATTTTTGTCAGGCATTGAGTCCAGACTTTTCATTTATAAAGAATGGTATCAGTAACATTAGAGGGATGTGAAAGAGTGAAAATACCCATAAAGGTTTCTTGGAAGTACTGAATTGAGATTTAATAGGTAGCTAGCAATGGACAAAAGGCACAAGAACATTTCAGACAGAACAAGTGTTACAAGCACGAGACGTTGAGGTGTGAGTGACCAAGCAAAATTGTTTTATTCATTTGGCCAGATGATTGGGAACACACTAGAGTGTCACAGGAGATGAGGATAATAAGGAACACGATCCACAGACTGAGGAGTTAGAGAAATTCTCTTGACCACGATCTGTTCCTCTTCCTACTCACAGTCATTAACCAGGAGCCCTGAAACCTTTGTAGATTGCTTTCTAACCCATATTACGGGTACATTTAAATGGCAAGTTTTATTGGAAACACTGTTTTAAAATGATTTTTCTACCTTGTGTAAAAATCCTGTTGGATGTGGCTGCATGACTATTTTGTAATCCCTATGGGAGTCAGTGTGATTAGAAAGAGGTCTGAAGGCAGGAAACCAGTCTTCTGGTGCAGCTCTGTCATTTATTAACTCCATGACCTTAGGCCAGTCACTTTACCCCTCTAAGTCTTAAATTTCCTTACCTGTAAAATGTTAGACCAGGATCAGACGTTTTTCATGATATACTTTCTTTTCTTTTTAATGAAATTTCTTGCAAATGAAACTTTATTCAAAGCCCTATCATAAAACAGAGTTGATCTCCTTAATGGGGGCAGAGGGTGAGCGTAGGGAGCCGCCTACCCAACTCTCCTTCCCAAAATTCTTCCAAGGAGTCTTAAGCCTCAGAGCACAGGTGGAAAATCCCTGGCCAGATGTCTAAGGGCCCTTCTAGAATTAACATTTTCTGATACTTACATTGATAAACTGAGTAGAATTTCTTAAAACAATTTTGAGAAGGTAGTGCATTAACAAATGTAATGCAGCTTATTGCACACCTACTCTGTATAAGGTATTACTAGGTACAGCAGCAAATGTGAAGAGTAAGAAGGGAACAGAAGACAGCGTCTGTAACTTTTTATAACCCAACTCATCATATATTCAAGGCAACAAAATTGCCTAAAAATTGCTACAGAGATTAAGAAGGAGGAAAGGAAAATGAGTGTGTGTGTTTTAATTCTGCAAGGATTTTTAAGGTTTTGTTTTTTTTGAATGGGAAAGAGATGTCCATTTGGTACTAAAGGAACGGATGTGACCTGAAAAGACTTCTGAGGCCTTCTGTGCAGGCAGTCACTCTTACAGCTTGTGCAAGCGTCCAGAGTTTACAGAAGCACTTGCAGATTTATGGGTATATTAGTTTCCTGTGGCAGTTAGTTCCTGTTGTAACAGTTAGCACAAACTATGTGGCTTAGAAGACCAGAAATGTATTGTTTCACAGTCTGAAGGCCAGAAGTTTGAAATCAGTACCACTGGCCTGAAGCCAGTGTTGGCGCTGCTGAGTTCTTTGCAGAGGCTTGGGGAAGAGTCCCTCCCTTTCTTGTTTAAGCTCACGTTGCCTGCCAATGCTCCTTTCTTCATTTGCGGTCCCATCACTCCAGTTTTCAAGGCCCACATCTTCAAATCTCCATCTGCTCCATCTTCACACAGCTGCCTTCTCTGTCTGTGGTGGTGGGGTGGGGGGAAGGGCAGTTGGGGTGTCTCCCTCTACCTCTCTTACATAAATACATGTGATTGCATTTAGGGCTCACCTGAAGAATTTAAGGTAATCTTGCCCTCTCGAGATCTTTCATAACATCTGCAATATATATTCCAGGATTAGAATGTGAATATCTTGTGGGCAAGAGAGGCATTTTTCATCCACTACAGCAGCATACTGTGCATACTTTTCTGACATTGCTTCTAATAGTGAAAACTAGAATAGCGTAAGGGTCCATTAATTCAGGACTGGTTAAACAGTGATACATCCATAGAATGGAATAAGGTGTCACCACTAAGAAGAATGAAGTGGACATACTGACATCAAACCATATTCACTAGAAAGTAGAAAAAAGCAAGTTGCTGAGGTGCATACGGGTAAGGTGAAAATTTAGAAAGTATATGTCAGACTTAAAAGTGGCTTCCCCTGGGGAGTGGGGCCAGTAGAATTTGTTAAATGTTTGTACTACTGGAATTAAATAAAATGTACTTAATAATCCATGAATTTATAATAAATCCAGAAGAAAATGGAGTTGCATTCATTTTTTTCTGGATGAATTGTATAAGTAATAAGGGACTATTAAAATTGGACCTTTTTTTTTTTTTATTTGTTTCCCAGATAGCAGACCCTACATTAGCTGAAATGGGAAAAAACTTGAAGGAGGCCATGAAGATGCTAGAGGACAGTCAGAGGTGAGCCTGGGGAGCAGAAGTGACCCATTACACATATTCAAGCTGTTGTGAAATGGGTGGCACTGGTTTCCTGCTATTAATAACACCTCTTGGTTTCAGAATGTCTCACTTAGCTTTGGCTCGTTTAAAGTTGATGTTTGCCTCCGGTGGAAGGTGCTTTGTAATTAAAGGGTTTTGAAATTGACAGGCAGGACTTACTTTTCAGTTCTGCCTATTACGAGTTTCATTTACTTAATATGTTGATTTGCATCTATAAATACTTCTAACTATACAGAGAGCATCAACTAACCAAGAAATGGATTGATTATTATCTCCTTCATGTTTTCTTTTCCTGAACCTTCATACACCCTAGCTGAGGGCTGGCAGGAGAGAAGGGGGTAGAGATGTGATAAATGTGTTTCAGATCCCACATCAGTACTGAGAGGTTCTAGGCAACATTGTCACGTTTGCGTGCTGAAATGTTAGAAATTTGATATGATAAAAACAAAAACAGTTTTTTATTTCCTTTAAAGTAGAAGAACAGAGGAGGAAAATGAAAAGAAGCTCATTTCAGGGGATATTCCAGGGCCACTCCAAGGCAGGTAGGTGACAGTGAAGATAAGTACCTTTAGTTAGGATACATGTTTTCTTTAAACCAAGATTTTATCATTGTTGATTTACAATTTTAGTTTTATTGAAAACAAAATAAATTAGAGTTGTGTGTAGTGTAACAAACATCAGAAAACTGCAATACTGTTAGCTGGATGGTGGTAATGCCAAGCCTACCTGCCTCTCCCCGTTGCATTCAGAATTTAATACAACAACATTGCTCAAAAACAATGCATAAATTTTTAATTAAAACTCAACTATCATAGTTCATTCTTGAAACCTATAATCTGTTCAGTAGACTGAGCTTTATTGTGAGAGAATTTAATGAGATTTATCATTTTTATAATATATTAAAATGAAGTAAAATGCCAATTTTAATTATTTATTGGCAATGACTTATTTTTTGGCAACTAAAGCAAATCTGTCAAGTCTGGTTTGACTAGAAGGGAAAAATATCAGAAAAATAAGTAGCTATCTGACTAAAATTTTCATACAATGATAGCACTCAATCTGGAATTAAAGTCCCAGACCAGCTTCCCTCAGACAAGCACATTTTTTTTTGTTTTATAACCAGGAAACTGCGTATAAGTAATAGTACACTTCCCTTAAATTGTCTTTTGACCTGAATTTAATTATGCACAAGGTTGCAGAAGACAAGAATGGAGGAGGGATCACAATGTGCTGATAAATGTCACGTCTAAACACCCAGATGCTAATATTTTTAAATAGACTCTCCTACTTGTAGTGTGGATGGTGCTGATTTGAATCCCTCTGAATGTGACGCATGTTCTGCAGCTGAGAAGTGCATCTGGATGAATTGTAGAAGGCCTACTGAAGGGAATGTGAGCCCACATCAGAGAGAACACCATGCTGGGCACAGCATTAAATGCTTTGAATGCACGGTCTGGTTGCAGCCTCACGATTCTGTGATATAGGAGCTTAGCCTGTTTCCATAGCTTGCTCACGGTCACCTGGCTAGTACTCAAGTGTGCCTAACCTTCACACGGTGTCCAAGGACCAGAGCCCCTCTCGCATGAAGGTCAATACCTTGGGAAGGATGAGTACTGGGACATTGTTTTGACAGTGCTTCTTTTTCAAAAAAGAGAATTTTTTATAAGTCATATTCTCATCAGTGGAGTGATGATATTTTTCCATTATGTGTGTTACAAGTTGCCTTGCCATTGCTTTCTACTTTAGCCATTCACATTCTTTTCTTAGGTTTTCACGTCTTCTGTAATGAGCATTTAGTAACATATCTTGGATACACGTAAATCTGTTTATGTTCTGCTGGATCTCTTTAGTTTCCCAGGTGGGAAAGAGGTGGTAATAAATGATGCCTGTGTTATATGTTTTAGTCTGTTAGAACAAATAGACAACACTCCTACATGGAAGGAAGCTAGATGTACCAGTGGCATTAATTTTTTGCTGCTTCTGTGACCTTCCAGCATCTAAAAAGGACTCTTTGGGTTCTTATAATACACTTATTAAATATTCTTCAGGATTCAAATGAATAGATAGAAAATATTGCCAAAACAGTACTGATAAAATTTTTTAAAATTAATCTCATCTTTAGTAGAAGATTTAATCACAAAGCTGTATTCAGAATTCAGTAAATACTGAGGTTTATTTTTAAAGATGTATTCTGTATCTCAAACACATTCTTTTCTCTTGTAGTTACTCAATTAGGAAAAAACTTACCAAAACTAGTTTGGATGAGAGAAATAGAGTGGTGGGGCATGTGTGCTAGTCCTACCTGCCCACCAACTCTTTTTTATTCTGCAGTGGACAGGATATGGTGAGCATCCTCCAATTAGTTCAGAATCTGATGCATGGAGATGAAGATGAGGAGCCCCCGAGTGCCCGGTAATGGAGAACGGTTGGCAGCTTCTCTTTGAAAGAATGTGTTCTTGATTTTGATAGTCATTGCATTCTTAAAAGTTGCTGAAATAATAAGCTATGTTTCATTCAGCGTTACATATGATACTAAAACAATGCTCGTTTTTTTCTTTTATATATTTTAGATAATGTATTTTGTAAAAGGAAGGCATTTACTAAAACTAAATGTAGTTTTTATGGTGTTGTTTCTTAGAGAGGGGCTGACAATGGGACTAGAAAATAACTGTGCTTTCCTGCCTCTGTGTTTCTGCATCTGCTCTCTAAGAATTGCAGCAGCTGAACTGATTGATGGCAGTCCACATTGTCTGCAAAGCACCTATTTTATTTTTATTTTTTCCTCTACGTAACTACTTATTTAGTTTCATTTTGTCTTTATTTTAAATTTAGTTTTTTGGAACAAGTAATGCATTGAACAAGAAGTTAAAATTTCAAAAGGTAAAAGAGGATATACAAAGGCAATATTCCGTCTTCCCTCTGCCTCCCTAACTGGTTCTCCGCAGAGATCTATGGTACTGCCAGTTTCTTATGTAGTCTCAGCAGTATTTTATGTGAATGTGTATACAAGCAAAGCCCATACTCTTCCCTCCAGCACCTAAATACTGTGCACATTGTCTGTGCCTTTTTCTTTTATGTCTTGGAGTTCGTTGCATATCAATGCACAAGGAGTTTTCTTTAAGAACTGTTTAGTTTTACTTTGAATGGATAGACCACATTTTATTTAACTATCCTATTTGTGTTTTACTATTATAGATATTGCTGCAACCAATAACTTTGTACATCTGTCAGGTTTTCATAAAAGCAAGTGTTTCTGGAGACTAAATTCCTAAAAATGGGATTGCTGGGCCAGATAGTTTGTGCACCTATAATTTTAATAAGATTGCCAAATTTCCCTCTGTGGAATTGTGCCAGTTTATAGTCCCACCAGTAGTGTATGAGAGTACCTCTTTCCCTGCACATTTGCCTGTTGGCAGGCATAAGGATGGTTGCCAGTCTGATAGGTAAAAAGTGATATTTCAGCATAATTTTAACGTAAATTTTATGAACCAGGTTATGTGTCTTTCTGTATGTTTTAATTTACATTTTATGAACCAGGTCATGTGCCTTTCTGTATGTGTTTTCTGTATGACCCATTTATATTTCCATGAACTATCATCTCCTTTGCTCAGTGTCCTGTTTGATTTTTTTTGTCTTTTTCTAGTTGACTTATAGTTATTCTTTATAAGGAAAATTAGTCCATCCATTATAATTACATGTAAAACAATGTCTAGCTCCTACTGTTTTGCTCTACTGTTACAAATAGCTGTTTAATGCAGGGTATTGATCTTCACCTAATGATTCTTTAAAAAATTGATTTCTGCACGTTTTATCTGAGCTCTCTACCTTCCATAGTTCTTACAGATGATATTTAATTTTTTTTAATTTAGGAAATTATTCAGAAACAGTTTATGTATTTAGAAGGTATTTGATGAAAAGGATATTTCTCTCCTAGGACTTGAATTTTAACAATACTTTTCTGTTCTAGACTGTCAATATCTTATATGCACTGAATTTCAAATTTATCTGAGTTTCTGCCATCTAGGCCATTAACTGGATTTTCAAGTCCAACAGAAATTTCTGTGGAATAATGTGTCTCTGAGTTTTATTTCTTTATTTATACTTTGACTAATACGTTTTTAAATCCAATGAATTTTGATTAACAGAATCCAGAATATTGGAGAACAAGGTCATATAGCTTTGTTGGGACATAGTCTGGGAGCTTATATTTCAACTCTGGACAAAGAGAAACTGAGGAAACTTACAACTAGGATACTTTCAGACACTACTTTATGGCTATGCAGAATTTTCAGGTAAAGAAATTATGAGTTTCAAGTTTCCAATAAAGATATTTATGAGTTGGGTATAGACTGTGAAGGATCTGTTCTCTGGAGTTCTGCTACCTGTGTTCAAATCTGCTTCTACCCCTTCCTCTTGAAAGAGTTGCTTATTCTCTCCATGCCTGAATTTCCTCATTTGTTATATGGGGATAGCATTAATATGTATTTCATGGCATTGTTGTAAGGATTAAATGAGCTAATGAACTAATATATGTAAAGAGCTGAGAACATAAGCACAGATGTATTGGATAATGTCTGCAATTTCTTACTTTTAGGGTTCCTAACAGGCACATGTTGATAGAAAGTAGAGCAGTGGAATCATTCAAATATTTTTAATCAAAGTATTAGTTCGTGCTGTCATAAGGAAAATGAGTATGTGTTTTGAAATTGAAGTTTGCTTTATCCTTGGTAAAGTTGGCATTATTAAGGAATTATAGCAGGTTAAGGATTCAGTAGAAGACAGGACTAATAGTACTTTTGTGTTTATGCTATTTGCTCTTATGGAAAAGGACTGTTTGCCTGACATTGGAACATTGAGCTTGGGAGAATCACTTTCAGATGTTGGGAAAGAGCTTGGCCTGGCGAGAGTATAAGTTTGCCTGTCACCAAGGAGAAAATTTCTTCTATTCTAATAAAAATCCAACACCTGTGATTGAAATTCTCTCTCCTTTCCTTAAAAAGAATAAAAGGCCCAAAGCAGATAATAGCGAAAGCAAAATTTAGTCTGACTAGTGTTTTTGATAATTTTATTTACTTTGCATGTCTTAGGGCTGAAACTCTGCTAAAAACCATGCCTGCCTTATCCAGTGCTAGCCTTCTTGTAGAATCAGCCAAAACCATGATCTTTAGCCTCTTTAGATCTGAAGGACTCCTGTTCTCTGCTAGTTTTCATAGTCTGCTCTTCAAAGATTTGGTTTTGGATGAAGGCTCATTGCCCCTGTGCTTTCTAACCTCTAGCGATACGGAGCTGTCAGCTGTGTAAGATGAGGGTGACTCCTGTCTCCTTTCACTCACCTAGGTGATGGTTTCTAAGTTAAGAAAGGAGTACTTGTGTGATTGTAAGATTGGGATATAAAATCAGAGTTAACCAAGATAACATATTGATATGTGGGTATCTTAACAGATATGAAAATGGCTGTGCTTATTTCCATGAAGAAGAAAGAGAAGGACTTGCCAAGATCTGTAGGCTTGCCATTCATTCTCGTTATGAAGACTTTGTAGTGGATGGCTTCAACGTGTTGTGTAACAAGAAACCCATTATATATCTCAGTGCCGCTGCTAGGCCTGGCCTGGGCCAGTACCTTTGTAACCAGGTAATGTGGTTTTAGGTAGATATTTTAAAGAAATGTTGTTTTGTTCTGTCCTGGAACTTTTTGAAGTGGGTAAACTCTTTTCTTTAGCTGCTGTTCTTTTTGTGAAAAGAAAGGTGGTTTCCTTACATGCTTGTTTCTTATTATAAGAAAATATGTAAATATATATTCATGAATTTAGATAAATTTTTTTCTAACCACAGTCAACATTTCACTTTGTTTCTTTCCAGACTTTAATCAAAGAGCATGTGTTTTTACATGGTAATATTTGGCTCTTGTCTCTTACTACTGTAACAGGTGCATATCACATTTTAACAGTTCTTCAAAGTAAAGCTCATTGTTAATGTCTTTATAATAGTCCTTCAAATAAATATGTGGTATTTTAATTATTTCCCTTTAGGACAGCTAGAGTGTGTGTATTCTGTGCTCCATATGACCATTTCCAGGTGAATGCTCTCTGTAGAGCACTGCTATGGGTGTCTTTGTGCATAAAGCTTTTTCTGTGCTCAGGGTTATATTCCTCAGACAGATTTTCAGTGCATCTACAATTACTAGATCAAAGAGCATTACCATTTTTTTAAGTTCATGGTGCATGTAGCCCAGTTAGGGGGCTACCTTGAGCAAGAAATTGTTAAGCCTCTTGGCCAAGAATGTTTTAAGCAAAACCCATAGAATTGGAGGGTTTGTCTTTTGTAAGGTGGAAGGATCCTGAGGAGAAACTTAGGTCCGTATGGGGGAAAACTCGGGGATGTAGGTTGATTCTGAGTTGTGATCACTGGTGGTAAGAAATTATGTCCTCTTCTTGAGGGTGTACAGAATAGGGAGTTTTATAACATCTCTGTGGAAACATGAAACCAATTCCTTATTAAATACCTACTGAAGGCCAGGCTTTTAGGGACCCCAGGCTGTCTTGGGACAGTAATCCAGTTTTCAAAAGATAAGTAAGGGTATTCTGTTAACTGAGAAAGGCAGGTGACAACAGTATATATAAGATGGTCATGTTCAGATTTTTTTAAATGTGTACATGCTTATTACATATATAGGTATACTTTTAATATCTAGAAAAATATGTTTATCCCTAGAAAACATTTGGAAGGTTACATACTAACCTGTGAACAGTGGTGGATCAGTGGCTTATGGGGGGCATTTTTACTTTTTTCCCTTTCTATTTTAAATGTAGTTTATGCACATTATTACATTGGTTCACTTTCACTCTTAATTTCTTTCTTTTTTAATGGTTTTACCTGAGTTTCATTTTCATAATTTATAAGAAAAATCCCTTAAGGGGAAATAGTGTATATAAAGTGCTTATTAAATTTTTTGTCTTTAAATACTACCAAATCTTGGTTATACAGAACAGTATGCTGTAACCATTTAAAAAAATCCCTAAAAGTATGAACTCAAGGATTTGGAAGCTAAAAATGAGGAATATAAAATACAATTACTATCTCCATCTGTAACACTGACTTCATTTCATTTCTCTTACAAAATGTAAGTCTGCTAGTCCATATTTACTGCTTTTTAGGAGTGGGTAGACCCATAAATAAGATACTGTTCTTTGAATGCCATTCGCTGGTGTTCTTTACCACTCATGCTTGGAGGAAGGATCCTAAATCATCCCCCAAAATGCTCAGGGCTCACTTGTTTTTCAGTTTAGAAGTGTTTTTGTTTTTGGTATATTCTAGAATATAGCAAAGATAGTTACTTATTTAGAAAATGAGTTGATAGTTGCTCCTTTGTTAACTCATTAGAAATTTTACATTGTCTGTATCCCCTTGTAAGACATCTCAGCTCCTGGGAATTCATCCTTTTTTTTGGCTTGACTAAGAGATGTACTTTAACATCAATATGTAATATTAAGAGTTTCTAATGAGAGATTATTTAGGAAGAATAACTGTGACTTTTCTTAGAGCAACAATCTTTGGGGGGCATAAGTAAGTGGTGACTAATATCTGTCTTGTAAAATTGTGTTTCTTCTTGCAGCTCGGCTTGCCTTTCCCCTGCTTGTGTCGTGTGCCCTGTAACACTATGTTTGGATCCCAGCATCAGATGGTGAGTTCTTTTGGTTTGAAAAATAATATAGAATTGTGTTTTGAAATTATGTCTTCCTTCAATTGAAGTTCTGTTTGCTGGCCTCCAGATAATTATTAGTGTATTCATTTATTGCTTAGATCTTTCCATTGTATAATACATGCTTCCAGGTTTGAATGCCCACAAAGGTTGACCCTTAAAGAACCTTGTAATCACTATATAGCCTGCTGTCAGTAGAAACATGGCATCCAGTTAAGCACCAGAAATTCCTTCTAAAGTGCATCATTTGAAATGGTTATCGTTGCCTGGATTTATTAATGGGCAGATTTTGAAAATGAGGTTCTTCATTGTAATGAAAATTGGATTCTGCATTTATGTTTAAACATGCAAGTGTTGAGCCTTTCTGTGCTGAAGCCAGAAGCAAAAGAGATGTTTAGGGTTCTGGGTTTCTTTGTTTCAAGGTAGTTGGGTTTTCTGGTTCAAATATATCAATGAGTAATATTACAGATACGGTTCTGGCTGTTTTGGAGGAGTTGAGAGAACATTTTCTTTAAGCATGAGTATTTGAAACTAGAGAAATGTTGGTCCTATATATAAAGTTTTAACTTTAATCTTATTTACTGATTTTTCTAGTTAGTCCTCAAAGAAAACTATTTGATTTTCACATCTATGGCTAGAGGAAATGGAAGAATTATCAAGAATAAGAACTGACTTGAGTGATTTATTTTGAGAGTCATCTGCTTCTTTTGGAAGTTACAGTTTTTCATTGGATAGCTTTTATGCTGGCACCTTATTTTTTGCGGTTTGTTTTTTTAATCCCAGGATGTTGCCTTCCTGGAGAAACTGATTAAAGATGATATAGAACAAGGAAAACTGCCTCTGTTGCTTGTTGCAAATGCTGGTAGGTATCACCCGAATCTTCCATTTTGGACATATAAGAGAGAGACAAGGTACTTAGCCTAAAAATGGCTTAAGAAATGTTAATGTGCCACATGTTTAAGATAGTCTATCAGCATTTTGATGAAAATTACACTAAAGTTGGCTCCTTAGATTCCCTTTAATTATTTGTTTTGGGAGTTGTTTTGTTTGTGCTGAAGTTTTTCCTTAGGCTGTAAGTGTTTCCGTTCTAAATTGAATTTGTAAGTGTCACACTAAGAGTCCACCTTGAAGATAGGTCAGCTCCCACTTTCTGCTCTGCTTATTGTATTCAGCATTGCACTTAGAAGTTCTAGACAGTGCAATGCGGCAAGAAAAGGAAAAACAAACTGACTTTATTTGCAGATGGTGTTACTGTATAGGTGCAAAGTCCTAAGGAAACCAAAGAAAGGCCATTGGAAAAAATAAGAATCTATCAAATTTACAGGATTATACTAGCAATGAACAACTGAAATTGAATTTAAAATGCCATTCATTAAAAGCATCGAAAGATGAAAACTTTATGGATAAATTTAACTAAATATAGGCAAGATGCAAGATCTGTACACTGAAAACTACAAAATGTTGCTGAGAGAAGTTCAAGAAGATCCAGATAAATGGAGTGATGTGCAGTGTACATGGGTTGGAAGACTCAACATTATTCAATCAGATCTCCCCAAATTAACCTATAGATTCAACTCAATCCCTATCAAAATATTCGCCTAGATAAGCTGATTCTAAAATTTATGTGGAAATACAGAGGATCTAAGAATAGCTGAAACAATTTTGAAAAACAAAATTGGAAAGCTTATTCTATCTGACTTTCAGACTTTAACTATAAACCTACAAATAATCAAGCAAAGTATGAGATTAACTGAAGAGAATGGAAAGTTCAGAAAGACTCCTATGTATATAGTCACTTGATTTTTTACAAAGATACCCAAGTAATTTCAAGAGCGAAAGGATAGTTTCCCACCAGTGGTCTTGGAACAGTTGGATATCCATGTGGAAGAAAATTGAACTTTAACTCTGCATACAATAATTAATTATAAATTGTTCATAGACTAAACATAAAAGCCAAAACAAAACCTCCAGAAGAAAATATAGAAGATCTTTGTGACATTAGGTTAGGCAGAGATTTCTTAGGACACAAAAGGCATGAACCATAAATGGGACTTTATCAAAAATTAAAAGCTTTTGTTGTTCAAAAGACTGTTAAGAAAATGGAAAGGCACATTACAGACTAGGAGAAAATGTTTGCAAAACATTTTTCTGACAAGCTGTATCTAAAATATATATAATAAATATAAACTTTATATATATTTTAAATCTTTATATGTGTATGTATATATATGTGTATATATACATGTGTATATATATGTATGAAGGAGTTTTATAATTCAGTATTAAGGCAAACAATACAATATTTTAAATGACAAGAGATTTTAGATATTTTCACCAAAGAAAATATATGAAGTATAAGCTGTAAGTTCCTCAAAAGGTTAAACATAAAATTACCATATGATCCATTAGTCCCACTTCTAGGTATTTATCAAAGAGAAATGAAAACGTGTTCATGCAAAGAATTGTATGCAACAGGAAACAATCCAGATGTCCTTCATCTGGTAAAAGGATAAATTGTGGTATATATCATGGTATGCTAAGCGGTTAATGGGAATAACTGATAAACATATACACATGTCATAGCATATACATACATAACAACATGTCAACATGGGGAGATCTGATTGAATAATTTCAAAACTGATAAGTACAAAAAGCCAGACAACAAAACAAGTTGCATAGTGTATGATTCCATTAAAAAGATAGAACTAGAGTGATAGAAAACAGGTCAGGATTATCTAGGGCGAAGCAGCATTTTATTCTGTGTAAGATAAACTTCAACCAATAAAGCTGATTATTTTAAAATTAAGAATAAACAGGGAAAAAAACATACCTGTCTTATTGCTAGCAGGAAAACCACTTGTGGTATAACTTGGCATATTGTATGTTTAAAAAGAAATGTAAATACACTCATATTTAGTCACTTGATAGATGGGCGAGGCTCAATTTACATGTGACTGATGACTTGCCAGCCTGATGGTGACTGCATTGTTCTTGTCAGAGTGCGCATCCCAGAGGTGAGCCATCAGACTGCCCAAAGGCAGGAAGGAGAGTCCAGTGTGGTCAAGTCACTGGAATGCAGCGCTGTGCCTTATGCTTTGATGGAACGGAAGGGCCAAGTGACCCAACCCTGCATTCGCCTTTGATCTTGTTTCAGCTAAACCAGATGTGTCCATTACGTTTTTTTTTTTTATTTTTTTTTTTTATTTGAGACAGAATTGTGTATGGGGAAACGTTTTCCCTGAAAAACCTCACAAAGGACCCACTTGCATTAGTTGTCTTTGTTGAGGCGGTTGGTGGGGATTTAAAGCCTTACTAGGGGAGATTCTGCTAACTGGACGTTTAGGACATTGGGAGATGGCTCCATGTTTTCCTCTTGCTCTGTGAAGAGGGATCTGTCCAGCAAGACCAGTGTAAACAGATCCCCAAGGGATGGCTTCCAGTGTTTAATGTGTTTAAACTGGCTTCAGAATGCCTATTCTGTATGAAAACAAACCCTCAAATTGGGTTAATAAAACCCCAAATTTATATGTGTATTTCTTATAGAGGACACATCTAAATAAAAATAACCCAGAAAGTGACAAAACGTAATAAAGCGGAAATAGCTATCTTGGGCAAGTGCTACCAGGATGAAAGTACTGTAGCTTGTCTGTATAAGATAAAACAGACTTCATATTAATTGCAGTTCATGTAGTCTATAACAGTTACAAATGCTTGTGAATATAACTTGGAAAAGTCATGTAAAGACTTAGAAAATATTTGTCCCTTTCAGTATCCTTTTTTGTGTTTTATCCTAGGAACTGCAGCCGTAGGGCACACGGATAAGATTGGGCGTTTGAAAGAACTGTGTGAGCAGTATGGCGTGTGGCTGCACGTGGAGGGGTGAGTGGGGCCTGAGGTCGGCTCTGCCTGCAGTTCTGTGGAGAGCAGAGATCCAGGCTCTCACGTGTCAGGCGTTTGTCACCACAGGCTCTTGGGGTCACAGATAACAAAAGAACCCAAACTGACAGAAGCAAAAGGAGGTTTTATTGGCTCCCATAAATGAAAAGACCAGTCTTAGGATTGGCTTTAGGTACAGCACCACACAGGAGGACTCAGAGTCTTCCTCCCGCCTCTTACCCCGTCACTTGGCCTTATTTCCTCCCTTTTGGCTCATCCATAGAGACTTTACTGTTACAGTGCAAAGTAGCTGCAGCAACTCCAGCCTTGTTTCCAGGTTTGTGTCCAGTGGGTCAGAAGTCCTGGCAAAGCCTCATACTGGACCAGTCACTATGGCCAGGGAAAAGTAATGCTCTGCCAGTTTGGGCTATTTGCCCACCTCTGACACAAATAGGTAGTGTCTCCTCTGCCCAAAGCTGTGGTCTGCGAGAGCAGACGCTGGGTCCCCAGAAGGCTGTGGGAGTGCCGAGAAGAGGGTAGAGGGTGCAGGGTGGCCAGAGTAGCCCAGGCCCGGCCCCTCATATGGGGAGGTTCTTTTCATTTGATCCCTTTGGGAATGAACGATGACTGGAACACAAATAGCTGTGCAAGACATAAAATGCGATAGTACACTGATGAAGTAGGAGGCCTCCCCTGAAACACATTTTGATTAAAATGCATTTCAAAGTTCTCCTGAAATTTGCATGTACCACATTTTCTGTTACTGTTACAAAAGCTAATAACAGCTAAAAGACATTTAAATGTCAGCTTGGAACAGCACAGCCTTTTTTTTTTTTTTAAGCACATACTTAGTGAATAAGCAGCAGTAAATGATTAGTTCTTAGATTGGTGTTTTTTCTTCTAGTGTGAATCTGGCAACATTGGCTCTAGGTTATGTCTCCTCATCAGTGCTGGTATGTTGTTGATTTACTCAATACTGTGTTTATAACAAGGAATTTAGTATCACTTACTCCCTGATGGCTTTTCACAGTTTTTTTGAATGGAGGAGGGTGCTGGGTTTGGTGTCTTCTGATAGTCTAACAAAAAGTCGTTCTCTCTCTGGTAGGCCGCAACCAAGTGTGACAGCATGACGCTGACTCCGGGCCCATGGCTGGGTCTGCCTGCTGTCCCTGCAGTCACCCTGTATAAACATGACGACCCTGCCTTGGTAAGCTGAGGTAGAGGGGAGTGGCTAGTCATTATTAGGTCTGGGTCCAAAGAACAGAAAACAAAGGAAAAAGTGACAGATTTCCTTTGCCACTTCTATGACTTAAAAAAAATGTTTTTAATATAAATGAACTTGTACTATATATTTTTTCTATTATTTTCCCCATACTGCAAGGCTCTGGGTCTGCTTCACTGTTTGGGATGTTCCGATTGTGAAAAACGTGATTGTGCTGCAGTTTAGCAAGCGAGGAACTTGTTCTGATATTTTGACTGCATAATATTTTGTCGCTTAAATACACTAATCAGTCTCCATTTGTGAACTTTCATGGTGTTTTCAAGTTTTTGTTAATGAAATAATGAGCATCAAATAATGAGCATCTTTCTATGTTCCAAATTATTTCCTTAGCCTAGCTTCCTAGAAGTAGTATTACTGTTGGAGTAGTTCAAGCTTTATCTGCATTGTCTAGAAGGTTGTGACTTTTTTTTAAAGCATAGCAGTGGTTTTTGATAGTGAATCAGTGATAGGCACATGCAAAATAAACTTTAAGTGATTCTTGCTAGAACAGTTCATGTCTTGCTAAGTTGCTAATGGCCAGGTATTCAAGGATGCTCAGAGCAGCCTCGTAAGTGGCTGCGTCTTGAGTGGCTAAGAGCTCCGGCTCTGGGATGTGACCCATCTGGATTCTCATCCTGGCTTTGCCACATCTTAGCCAAGAACTCTTGGACGAGTTAAGGTCTCTGAGCCAAGTTGCCTGGAATACTTACTTCATGGGCTTGTTGGATGATCAGATGAGTAATACAAGCCGAGTGCCTGGCATAGCATCTGACATGTACTAAGTGTGTCGTAAATGGTAAAAAGTTAATTCTGCTTTTTTATTTCTTTGGCTTTGATTAACAAACCCATACTGGCTTTTTTAGACTTTAGTTGCCGGTCTTACATCAAATAAGCCAGCAGACAAACTCCGTGCCCTGCCACTTTGGTTATCTTTACAATATTTGGGACTTGATGGGATTGTGGAGAGAATTAAGCATGCCTGTCAGCTGGTAAGTAGAAATCTGAGGTTTGAATGAGTCACATGTACTCCATGGCAAAAGCAGAGACAGAAAAATACTTCGTTGATTTACCTCTACCCAGTACCTTGTTGTCTTATAAGCAGGCAAACTAATTGCCCTGTATGTGTACACTTCTTGTTCAAAGTTCTGGGAGAAACTTCTGGGGTGGTCCCAGCATTTGTGTCCAGATGAAATCAGATTAAAATGAATGCCAGTGTCAGCGTAGGAAGGAGAAGGATGCAGAAGAGGGGGCAAGTGTCCCACTGGACGGCCTGACTCTTGAGGTTGGTGGTGAATTATAGATAGCATGTAGATTTTTAACACCAGCTGGCTTGGTCTCCCAAACTGCAAGGCTCTGGGACAGTTCTGCTTCACTTTTTGGGGTGTTCTGGTGGGGTGTGCTGCAGTTTAGCAAGCGAAAAATGTCCTGTTAATGCAATTTGAGAGCTCAGTCTTGCTTGAATATAAAAGGCATGATAGCGCCTCCCTACACCTCTGGTTTCATACATGTAAAAGTGATGATGACATAACAAAATTATTACAAGGACTTAATGGGTCCATACATGTAAGGCTCTTACAGCAGTGCCTAATCATATAGGAAGCTAGGCAAATAAATTTAAAAAGAAATCTTTGTTTTAAATATATTCTTGGGAATTAGCGCTTCCTCAAGTGTCCTTTTTATATTTAAAAAAATTAGTACTTTCTTATTACTGTATCTGTAGTCCTTTGGTTCATCATGTCAGGAGAGTTCATTCTAACGTGAGTTTCTAATGTAATAGAAGCATTCTAAATGAAGCAGTTTGATTTTTACATTAAATAATTTTAAGGTTTGTGTTCATTATGTTCATTCACAAAAGTACCACATTTTTCAAAGTTTTCTCGCTGGGCTTTTGGCTCACCTCTTGTGGTTTGGTTCTTTGGAAGGAGAAGCTGTGTAACTTTATTGCCACAGTAACTTCGCCAATTTGGGGAAGGTTTGTCCACTCAACAGAGAGTTTTTCCAATTCCCTTTGGCTTCTGGAGTGCAGGAAAATAATGATAACATGAACTCCCAAACCCCAAGGGTGCTGCAGCTCTGGCACCTCCTGCAAATAGCCACTGCAGCTGCACTCAGACCCTCCCAAGGACCTAAATGATGTCCTCCTGGTGACTCACCACTGCTAAATGCACATGTTAAATGGCATGGAAGTTTAACAGATATGGTTATCTGTGTACAGATCATAGGTGCCCTGAGAGCAAAGATCAGCTTCCTCCTCTTCCTCATCATCTGTGTCATCTTCAGAGGGAACAGTCACTGAGTATTTACTCAGTGCCAGGCAGTGGGAGGCACTGTACCTATACTGGCCCATGTG